AATATCAGTTCATTGTTGATCTGTTTTTCTGGAGTTTTGATGCCTCCTCAGGAAAGAAAAACCAGTAAAAAGTAGCATTTTTAGTTTACTAGAAACCTTCTCAGTAGGGGTGGGTGACATGGACTTAAAATTGTGTAGCAACATTTTCTGGTGCTGTGTTGTGACAACGATCAATATTAATTAAAAAACTGTTTGTTATTACTAATTTGAGCAACTGTATGGCTGTGACTGCATTCGCAGTGCAGAAACGTTGCGCTATATTCTTTCTTTGTATTGGAAACAAGCAGCAGTCCTGTACTCGGCTACAGGTGAGGGTGGGAACAGATTTTCCAAACGGTTCTGGTTCGTTTGACACAGTGCAGTGTTAAAGCGAAATACAATTTTGTTCCCCAATCGAACCGAGTCCATCAGACCATCAGGTGTGAAAACGGCGTAAATCTTTAATGTCCTTCCGAGCCAGTATTTTGTATCTCTGGGCTTGGAAAACAAGAAAGTCAGCTGGTGTTTTAAGGTAACAAAATATAGTTGATTCCAAACCAGAGGAGTCGGATGTTTGATTAATTCAACTGTTGTACCTCCAGATTTGTACCTTTAATCACATAAACCAGCTTTTATTCCATAAAGAGGCCAATTCTTCTTCTCTGAAAGCCTCGTTCATGCAGCAGTCTGTTATGTGCCCATACATTATCACACTTTGGTTCCAGTGATTAAATCCCGCCTTCGCCTCCGATCCGGATCATATTTTTAGAGCCGCGTGTAGACGTCTGTTTCAGACGCATACGGCTTTGTTTACTGGATCAGATGGCAATCTGCAGCTCGCTCCACACTCTGTTTCTCTACAGTGACAGCAGAGATGAGAATGAAGCCGTTTCCCTCCAGCCAGGAGAGTTAGCTCATGTTTTAGATGTCTGGCAGTAATGTTGAGGCTTGACTGATGGCATCTGCAGGGACGTGATGAGAGCCAATTATGAGCCAATTGGCCTGATTAATAGGATTATAGCTAGTACCTCTCCTGGTAGATACTCACAGATGCAAATGAGACTTCTTGCTTCTCAAACTAGAGAAGATGAATGTATTTTTTTATCACACTCCTCCCATCTTCATTTAGGAGTGTGAAGTGAATTACGCATTGTTATTGAGCTTGCTGGTATAAGTGAGTTCTGTTGCAAAACGTAAACCGACTTTCTCACACTTCTGAGGCCTTCAGATGAGTAAAATGCTCAGTTTTTATATCTTCAACCTATTTGAGAATAAGTAGGGACATAAAAGCTAAAAAATAAATTATTTTTGCTTCATTGGTTCAGTGGAAATGTTCAGAGATCAACAGGAAGTGAGCACAAGCTTTTCCTGTTTTTACATTACGTTTTATATTAAAACAAGATTTAGTTTTGCACATTATGTTTACATTTAAAAAAAGAAACATTTTAACATCTTGTAAAACTAATACTGTCAAACTGCAACAGCTTGTTTAATTTGTGTATTTAAGTATTTTTATTTCCATTTTGTTGCTGATTTCAGACTTTTTTTGGCTTAATTTCTATTTATCTAAATATATTGTGTGATTTTTATATATCAAACTTTTTAATGTAATGATTTTCTAAAACAAAAATGTGGAATATCAGTAAAAAAAATATTGTAGCATATTTTTTTTGCAATATCGCTCACCTTTAGTTTGAAGATTAATCTGTATGAATTGATGCTTATTTCCTTATTTTATAATAAATCTACTTTTATAATATATCTAGTGTAAATAAAATTAGCCATTTTATTTAAAACATTTGTTTTTTGTCCATTTACCATTAATTTTAAGCTGGAAATGAATGAAATAAATTAATTTAAAAAAATTCTCATGGCCTGTCCCTGGTTTAAAAAACCCCCAAAAAACTTTCTGAAGATATTTTCTGTTATTTGTCATTTCTTAATTAGAAGAAAAAGCGAGGACAGGGTAAAAAAGGTTTTATTTTTAAGCCATATCTCCCAGTTCTGACATTAAGGTTGGGGGATATAATGAGTAAAAACATGAAACAGTTCAGGAGATACGAATACTTTTGGCACATTAGGTGGGATTTCTGAATAACTCCAGTGATGCAGCTCGATGCTGGAGCAGCTTTCCCATCCAGCAGCATGCAGGGAGATTGTCTTGAACCTTATGTATAGTGAACAGCACTCCTAGCTGTTTAGCTCCAGGCTAAATTCATTATTGATGCTGGACCGTTCTCAGAAGGACTTAGCTCAGGTGAATACGTGTAACTCCGTGTAACGCTGCCCAGACGCAGGATGTCAGTGGTGGTTCCAGTGTGTAGTGATGTTGATTTTTATTTTTTATTTCTTTTGCACCATCATCTTTTGAAAACTGTCCTCCTGGGTCTGATTATTTTGCTCTCTGGGACGTTGCCTTACAGCCCAAAGCAAATGTTCATCTTAAGGAGAAAATGGCCGCCGTTGGTCAATTAGAGCGCAGGGAGTGGATTCGCTGGACGACGGGATGCAGAGGAAGCTCGCGTGAAAGACATGCCCAGGATGTTACACACATGGAAAGCAAGCACTCAAAAGTGAAGGAGGTGTTGTTTTTAGAAAGAAAGGCTAACAAAGCAGAAGAATCAATACTGGAGTGCCTGCAGAAGTGAACAGAAAGAAGAAGAGGCAGCCTGCAGAGGACGCTTTGATGAAGCAGCCTGTGAGCGAGCGTTTGGTGTGGTAAACAGGTGGGCTGCAGCCTGCATCTGCTCACATCTACAACGTCTCCTGGAAATGGAAACAAAATGCTCTGTGCTTTGGATACAGTTAGCAGCCTGCTCATATTTGCAGAAAAATAAACAGCGTGAGTGACAATGCAGGAAAAGATGGAACCGTACATCTAGAGTCGGCACGACATTCTCACTGCTGAGTAGAAATGCGACAGTCTGGAAGTTACTCAACATTTTCAACAAAAATGTAAAACATGCAGCTTGTTTTTGATGCAAAATTTAAACAATTATATCCTTGTAAAAAATAAAAAAAGCTATTTACTCTAATTATGATGATCATTTTTATAGACTTGTTAAAAGGGAAAAAAGTATAAATATAGTATTTTATATTAATATGCAAATCATAATTATTTGCATCAGGATATTGTCACAGTATGATGACCTTGAGGTAAAACATCACATTTTCATTTGATCATGTTAACAGAAACATTTAACACTAAGTTGTTCAGCTTGTTCTAACCGTTTTCATTTCAAAACAGAAAATTTAAATGTTTTCAGTTTATTACAGCTATAATAACATCAATACTTATTTTTATCTTAACAAATAGGCACATGGAGAGTGAGGGGAAAACAACGTGACTGTTTTACGAATGTACGCAGCGATGGAAAGCTGAGGGAAAATGTAGATTAAACATTTAGCTAATTTAGAAAAAAGATTTTAAGTTACAGAGCCCAGAGCCCAACCCGTTACCTAGCAACGTCGGCGGAATTCCGGTCGTCACCTAGCAACCCAACTGGCAATCCGAGCAGTCCAGTACGTTTGGTCAGCTGGAAAAGACAGATGGATACAAACTTTAATACATTAAAAAGACAAATGTTTTGTTGTTGACAGAAACCAGTTTGATTTAATTTTTAAACTGGTGGCACAGCAGTGGTTTTAAAGTCTCACTGTTAGACTGGACCGTTGATAACCGGGAAAATCTTCTGTCCAGTTAGCTCCTGTTTTTATCTACTCTTGTCTTGTTGAAGAGAATTGGATTAAATTTACTTCAATCAGAGCCAGACTGTAGACGTTCTCCTGTTTCTGCATAAATTCAGATTATTTGGAAAGTCAAAGCTGTAGTTTCTTGAGTAGCCAGGAAGCATCTGTACTTTCAAATCTAAACATATTTTGTTGCGTCCTGCTTGGTTTCTAACCTGATCTGAGGTGTTCAGTCCTTTCTGTAAGAAAAGCTGCAAAAAGAAAAAAACAAAAGACAAATCCGGGCCTTTAATGCTGTTCTCTGATCGAAGAAATATCGATTTCTGTTGAGCGCTGCTGTTGGTTGCTTGTTCCTCACAAACATGCGCACATACCAACTTAGATCACCAACTGGAAGAAATCGATTTTACATGTACTGCAAGCCTTTTTCTCCCCGCTGACGCTAAAGCAAGCCTTCTGTAGCCTCAGATGAAGCAAGAGGTGGTTGAAATGAAACCAGCTACTCTGCAGCCTGTAAATTGTACGTGCACAGGCATGGATAATGCTCTCGTTATGCTTCCACTCTTACACTCCCTAAATTCTGGTTTTCAAAAGGTCCAAAGTTTCTCCAGTGTCTATCTGTGCAGCCTCATGAACTGCACACACCAACATGCTGTGCCTCATTAATGCCGTAACGCTAGGAGAGGACACTCACTGCCAGAGATGGGAGTTTGAAAATTGCCAGCTATTTTGTGTGGATTTGATTAGTTTGACTTTGAAGGGGAACTCATCTGCAGTCACACTGTGCAGCTGCTGTAAATTCATTACAACACTTGGCACTCAGGTACTGTCTGTGTGGAGCTACAGGCTCATGTGGGGCCGGGACATTACCTTGTGACCAATTGGTGATCTGTACAAGTACTAGACAGCAGCTGTAGGTTTGGTTTTCCATCATTTTTGGCAGAATCTGAGGCTGCATTCACACCAGCCCTGTTTAGTTCGCTTTATTGGAACTCTAGTTCATTTGTCCGGCTCATTTGGGGAGTTGTGAAGGCGTAATTGACCAAAAAGCCAAACGCTGGGCCACCTATAAACCTTGGTATTGGTTCGATTAAACTGAACTCTGCTGCAGCGTGAATCCATATGAGAATTCAAGCAAACCGGAGACCGCTCCAAAAGCAGTCGCAGGGGATTCTGGGTAAATACAACCAAAGCAAACGCTAGTGTAAGGATAGTTGTCTTGTGGTTTTTTACCAAAAACGAAAAAGAAAGTCTACAACTGCTAAAATCTGTCGGCTCTCAATTTTTTTTTTAGTTTTTTAGCAAGGAAGGAAGTTGTGCTAATGTCTTACGAGTTTTCTGTCATTTCCTTCAGTGGTTCTTAGTGCAGTGCCCCCACAGGCGGGGAGGGGAACAGTTTTTCAAACGGTTTGGTTTGAAAATGTAGCAAATGTTGCAACTTTGGTCCCCAATCTAACAGACTCTACTGGCCTATCAGGTGTGAAAACATCCTAACCTGAAGTACATTGCTGGAAAATGTTATATTCACACCATGGATGTCCAAAGTGCAGCCAACAAATACTCCAACAAAGGAAGTTGATGCAGATGGATGGAGACTTTTGTGTTTTTCTTTGTATATATATATGTATTTTTTTTTAATGGAATATCTTAGGTACAAAACTATAATTTTCAAATTAATGTTTTTTATTCTTTTCTGCGAGGGCAACTTTTTACTCACAATCAACCTTAGTCACACTCATTAATTAAAATGGCTAAATACAGTTACAGGTT